GCTCCGCGCCCGGGAGCCATGGCAACGCCGCCCGCACACCACCGAGACACCGCCCGCGCCGCCTAGAGAGGCGCCTCCCGCCCGCCGCTCTATGGTACCGCTTCCGGAGGACGGGACGGCGCCACCCGCTGTACGCAGGCGCCAGTTGTACACGCCCTCCGGCCCGGGCTCTGCGCATGCGCAACGCCGCAGCGGCCTAGCTGGGCCTGCAGCACCGAGCACCGCAGCCTTGCAGCGCCCAGGGAGGAGCCGCCTCCAGCGGCCCGGTGCCGCCGCCTCCAACACCCCTCTCAGCCGGCACACAGTCCTCGTATTTTATTCTCCACCGCTCACAACTCCCGCGAGTCCGTTGTGCTCCCCGCGGCTTCGCTACCGGCCCTGTCCCCCGCCGGGTTTCTCCTCAGCTCCCCGGCCAGGGCGCGGCAGGGCCCAGCGGTGCTGCAGCTGGCAGAGCAGGTCGGGCAGCAGGGAGTCCAGTAGGGCCAGGCCCTCCCAGCTGCACCGCAGGCCGCTGGGGAAGAAGCGGCAGCTGAGCCCTGGCTCTGCGAAGGAGACCACCCTCCCCACCGCCGCCATGGTACCCCCAGGGCTCACCCGCAGTCCAGGACCAGCCAACCCTGCTGCTGTAGATCCTTCGCCTCCCCCGGCACCCCGAACACGGCCTCCAGGCTGAGGTGGGGGGAGAATTGCCTCCAGCGCTGCGTGCCCGGGGTGAAGAAGGTCGTTAGTGATTTAGGGGCAGGTCAGTGCTGGGTTCCCCCATGGGTGGCTCCTCACCTCATGGGTGATGCCCTCGTCCGTGCGAAGTCCCAGGGCGAGCACCTCCTCCAGCCTGTGGGCACATGGGAGAGCTGTGAGGCGGCACAGTGAAGGAAGAGGGCGTGGGGCGGGGGGGGGCAGACACCCCCATACTCACTGCTCCAGCGGGCTCAGCACCACCCGCCTCCTGGTGCCGTGCCCGTGGCTCTGCACCTCCCGCATCCAGGCATCAGGCTCCAGCGTCTGGACACGGGCCTCCCGGCTGCGGCCACCCTCACCCCATGGCACAAACCGCCCATGCGCTCCTGCAACGGCAGTGGGGGGGGACGATGGAGTTCAGGGGGCACACACAGTCACGCACGCACCCCCCCATCAGACCCCCGTCACTCTGGCTTACCCGGCCCCACGCCGATGTATTGCTCGGCCCGCCAGTACGAGAGGTTGTGGGTGCTGAGGGCGCCCTGGGGGAGAGCATTGCATGGGGTGAGGGGGGGCTGAGCCTGCTTGTGGGGGTGGCATGGCATTGAGGGGGGGGCACGGCATGGGGGGCACCCCACCTTCCTTGCAAAATTGGAGACCTCGTAGTGCCGGAAGCCAGCAGCCACCAGCATGGCACGGGCTGTCTGGTACATGTCAGCCAGGAGGTCCTGGGGGGGCACGGGCAGGGCCCCCCCCCAGACCTGCGCCGCCAGCACCGTGCCCCGCTCCAGCGTCAGCTGGTACAGGGAAACGTGGTCGTCGCAGAGCCCCAGTGCCGCCTCCAGCCGCCGGGTCCAGGTGTCCTGGCTCTGCCCCGGCAGCCCGAAGAGGAGGTCGATGGAGGTTCGGCCGGGGAAGAGCCCCCGCGCCGCCTCCACGGCCCCCCGCGCCTCCGCTGCCGTGTGCTCCCGGCCCAGCAGCCGCAGCTCTGCGTCGTCCAGAGACTGTGGAGGGAGTGCAGTGGCAGTGGGGGGGCACGGGGAGCTGCGGCGGACAGGACGAGGGAGAACCTCTCTCACCTGGACGCCGATGGAGAGGCGGTTGACGCCAGCTTCCCTGAAGCCGGCGAGGCGCGGTGTGCCGGCAGAGCCGGGGTTGGCCTCCAGCGTGACCTCGGCGCCGGCGGGGAGGTGGGCAGCCCCCGCGATGGCCTCCAGCACTGCTCCGATGGTGCGGGGGCTGGCCAGGCTGGGGGTGCCCCCTCCGAAGAAGACAGAGGTGATGCTGTAGGGCAGAGGGTGGGGAGGCTGCGGGCAGGTACCCAAGGGCCCCGCGCCCCCCCAACCCGAGACCTCCCCAAGCACCCACCTCTGCACCTGGCTGAGGTGGAGCAGGGTGCGTGCCTCCCGCACCAGGCAGGCGCGCACGGCCGCCTCGTCCACCGCCGGCACCACGTACTTGTTGAAGTTGCAGTAGGAGCAGCGCTTGCGGCAGTAGGGCCACTGCGGGCACGGGATGCCGTGGGGGATGGCTGCACCCCCAGGTACCCTACTTTGGGGAGGGGGACAGCCCCATGCACCGGCCCCGGTGCTTCCCACCTGCCCCAGGGGCACAAGGTGCGTGCCCCGTGGGTGCCTCCCCCCCTTCACGTGGATGGCTCGGGGACCCCCCAGGTGTGCTCCATGACATGTGCAAGGCCAGGATGCACCCCCACGTGTGCAAACCCCAGGGTCCTGCATGCACCCCCACGTGTGCAAGCCCCGTGGTCCCACGGTCGCTCCCCAATGTGTGCAAGCCCCGGAGTCCCAGGTGTGCCCCCCACGTGTGCAATCCCCGGCGTCCCTCCCCTAAAGTGTGCAAGCCCCAGGTGCCCTACCCGCTCCCACCACGTGTGCAAGCCCGGGGTCCCCGTGCACCCCCACGTGTGCAAACCCGGGGGTCCCTTGTACACCCACGTGTGCAAACCCGGGGTCCCCGTGCCCCCCC